ATGAAAAAAATATTGAATTGTTATTTTTTTATAAATATAATTTTATATAAAATAAATTCACTGCAAATATATATATATACAGTATATTCAAATAAACGACAACAAGTATACTAAATGTGATGTGAATTTTAATATAACATTTTTGAATGTATTGTAAATAAGGATATATTTATATATCGATATAATTCACTATTGAAAATACAAATATTAAAATAAAATATATATATATATTTAAAAATATACACACATTTTGTTTGTTTGTTTACTATGTTAAGTGTAATATAATAATAATAATAACACAAAATATAAAAATTTACAAAAAAAATACTTATAAAATATATTTGTAATATAAGTTTAATACTTTATTTTTTTAGGAAAAACTTTTGTAATTTTGAAGAAATTTTAATTATATAAAATAATATATATATATATATATAAAACAATTTGTAATATTAATCACAATATATACAATAAATAGCAATTGTATGCAATTTTCTTATACTACAATATATTATAACTTATATATAGATATAAATGTATTACTTATATGGATTAGCCCTACGGAGGAAACAATCAAATCGTTAGCATTACTTCCCATTAATTTTGAGAGAGAAAGAGAGAGAGAGAGAAAAAATAATGCCATGTATTTGATAGAAACAAATCCATATAATAAAACATTTATTTCAGATATACTGTATATATATATATACAAATATTGTATATATAATATAACACAATATTACATCAATATCTATATATAAGACGATAATAATAATAATAGTAATAAATATAAGATATATGTGAGTGTTTTGAGTGAAGAGAGAGAGAGAGAGAGAGAGAGAGAGAGAGAGAGAGAGAGAGATAGAGAGAGAGAGACTAACAAAAAAATCAAATGATTTGCCACTAAATAAGTATTTATAAGAGTTTTTGCCAAATACTAGATAACAATGCCTTTTGGATGAATGGTTTGCCTCTGAGACTACATAAGCGACTATATGTGTGTATATGTATTGATATATACAGTATATGTACGATATGTGTACTGTATATTCATAAAGCTAACAGTGTGTATGTATTGTATATGTATGTGTGTGTGTGTGTTAGCGCCCGTATTCATACTATGCCTCAATACCAACCAACTAACACATACACACACAGTGTAAAGCTTATGGATATTTAGTAAATTTGCTGTATGTGTGTGTGTATGAGTGTGAGTGTGTGAGAGGCATATCAAGTGTATGTATTACAGTATATAATAATAATATTCAGTGCTATGATGTGCTAAATCTCTGGCTGAGTCTCAGGTGAATAAAATCCCATTTTCTCTCATAGTATTACTAAACAGAGAGAGAGAGAGAGAGAGAGATAGAGAGAGAGAGAGAGAGAGAGAATCCTATCTCTGAGGACAGTTAGACTAAGGGTAGACCATTTATTTCGTATTATATTTATATATAACTATCTACAAAAAAAGGTTAGCTATTGCCTACCATAATAACATTGGGGGCTTTTAAAGGGGCAGTTAGACAACATTATCTGATTTTCCTCTGAGACAAGTTGGACACACATAACAATAGAGAGAGAGAGAGAGAGAGAGAGAGAGAGAGAGAGAGAGAGAGGCGATAGTATAGATATGACAAACAAAAAGTGTGACTCCTTTTAAATGGTGTTAAATATGTGGGGGACAGTCATGTATGGATAGAGAAAGAGAGGAATGGTATGCAATTTAAAGAGATGCTGAGTTTTGTGTGTATTGTATACCATTATCTTTGGGGCCAACACTTAATACCATATCTTTTATATATATATGTTATATTGTTTTGTATATCCCCTTCCCGTAGTTTGACCGACCATTCCAGTCATTCAGCCATTCAAAACACATCGTTTCTCTCTCTCTCAGTTTACTCAATGATAATGATGGGTACAGTAAGTTCATCACACATACACACACACACACACTGTACAGTATTGTGTGTGAGTGTTAAGTGTGTGTTAAGAGAGAGAGAGAGAGAGAGAGAGAGAGAGAGAGAGAGAGMASATATAACTATTCAAACGTCATATACCGTATATATATATATATATAAAGTACAGTACAATCTCATCACACTTTGGTTACGCATTATCGCACTTTCCATACCAAACAATATAATAGTGTTAATCATACGCCTAGTTGTGCACCGACTACTAGAGTAGTAGTAGTAGTAGTAGTAGTATTGGTTTGAGGACTACTAGTATGTATGAGGTGGTCGACCATATATATATATATATATATCTTTTTGTGTGTATGTGATGGCCATAAAAAAATCAAATCACAAATAAAATAAATATACAATATATATATATATATGATATATATTTGTACTGTATATTAAAAGGGAGAAAGTTATAGAGAGAGAGAGTGAGAGAGAGAGAGAGAGAGAGACGGGAGTCTAATTATAATTATAAAAGAGATGCCAACAATTGTGAGCCGACATTGACAGCACAGACACACACACACACACACCCATTGATATCCACCTAATAATAGCACTGTTAGCTGTGATGTCTGTTAACTTTTTTGACTTGACTTTGATTTTGACTGACTGGACGGCCTAAAAGATTAATACATAAATGATTCATAACTAGACAGCAGTGGCCATACCTAACACTATTGGTTATATATACACACACATGTGTGTGTGTATGTGTGTATAAATTTTTGGGGAAACAATGTTGTGATAGATATATACAGTATATACTATATATATATATATATATATATATATATATATATATATATATATGACTGATGACTGATACAGCAGACTAACTAACGAACGAACGGACGGACGGAAAGGTACTATTAATAGGAAAGTTGTGTTTGTGTTTGAAATGTAATCATAACTACAGTACACACACACACACATTGAAAATCATTGTAAAAGCCAAACACATTAACTTTATTACACATAAAAACATATACAACAACAACAACAACACATCATATTTATAATCGTTAAGATATGTTATGTGTGTTATGGCTTAAGAGCTCCTAAACATTAAACACTTGGATATAATTAATAATATATAATAGTATATAACTTTTATATACAGTATATAAGATATAACAACAAACAAACAAAAATCAAAACATATACTTATATATATATATTTATTATATACTGTATAAACCATTTATAATAGCATATACAGTATATAAGACAATGATATATGACTTTTATCATATATATATATATATATATATATATATAGAGCATATCCAATGATATACTGTACTATCAATGTCTAAAACATAGCAAATAAAAATAAAACCTATAATAGTAATAATAATAATAATCCAAATAATAAAAAAACTTTTTTTTTGTGTAAGGTTAAAGATATGTCATTAAATATATCATATATAATATATAATTATATATGATATATAAAGTTTGCCCTAGGTTAAATATCTTATATATATATATATATAAATATAAATTTTTTAATGTAGATTTTACTATTTGTTTTTTAAATACATTAATATTAAATCAATGATAAATGTCTTATAATATTAAATATATATATTATAACACAACTAATATATTATTTATATAATACAAATACACACTATATTTAATGTTATTTGTTTTTTAAATGTTATAATAATAATAATAATACAGTAGTATTAATAATCTAAATTAATTTACTAAAAATTAATTATGTTTGATAGCTAGTCTAGACATAATTAATTAATAATAGATAAAATATTATTTTTATTTTATTTTTATTGTATTCAATATTAAATATATTGACACAAGTTTTTGACAGTTTATAGTAAAACAATATATATAAACATGATATAATTAATATATAAAAAACTTTATTAATATTAAGAAATATATATATATATATATATATATATGTATTATATATAACTATAATTTTTATTTAAGTTATAAAACTCTTTATTGTTTACTTTATTGTAAATTATTATTTTATAATAACTAACAATTATTATCATATTTTTTATATTAAATAGTAGTATATTATCTAATAGTGTATTTATATATTATTATTATTATTACTATATTTATTGTTTAGTAAATTATAAGCCATTATATAATTTTTGGTTATAATTCAACAAAATAAAACACGACAACAACAAAAACAACATTAGATTATAACTATTATTATTATTATTATGTCTATTAGTATTAAAAATAATTTCTATAAAAATACTACAAACAAAACACAGTTTAATGGATTTTTATATCTATTAAATCTATTATATATTATCTATTGATAGTAAAAGTTAGATAAAGAGAGAGAGAGAGAGAGAGAAAGAGAGAGAGAGAGAGACTTAGGATATAAAACAATAATCATAATAATAATAATAATAAATATGACATTAAAATTGGTCATAAAATAACAGTGCAATTGCTTTATATCTATACAACACATTACAGTATTTTTATTTGATAAATAAAATGTGTATTAATTTTATTAAACACAACATTATTATTGATATATAAATTATTATTGATATTATTATAAAGAGAAAAACATATATAATAATTCTAACTCTAATAAACAATAATTAAAAATATTATATTTGTGTTATTTTCTAATTATTAAATTAAATTATTATATTACAACATTAATTTTTGGTGTTGTATTACTAATAATTTTATTTTGTCATTAAAATTATATTTATAAGAGTGTTATTAAACTTAATATATTAATAACTAAAATCATACATGTTTATCCAAAAAAAATAATTTTAATTGATTTAATTTTATAATAATAATGATATTATTATTTAGTAGTCCAATATTGAACTTAAGTGAGCATGATAATTTTATTTTATTGAAAATAATTATTTTCATTAAGCGCGCAATATATATATTTATTAAATATTTAATTAATTATTACTTTAATATATATATAAAATAGAAAATAAATTTTATAAAAAAAATATTATTATAATTATTAAATAAAAAACAGTTATATAAATATCTACTTACAGAGCACTTGTAGGTGAATTCCCTGCAATAGTGGCACTTCATGTCGTTGACGGAGCACCTGATTAGAGCCCTTACAGAAAAAGTCGCCGCTATGGTCGTGACGGGAGGCTATAAACACCAGTGTCGACGATGTCCTAATAAATTAATTAAATAATTATTAATTTATAATAATTTAAAAATAATAATTAATAATAACCAATAAATTTATAATAATAGAAAATCTATTTTTGCAAATATTAATATGTATATTATTATTATTAATTGAAATTATACAAACAAAAACAATATATTGATTAAATTAATAAAATTTAATTAAAAATTAATTATTTTGTTTTTTTTTTGTTTTTATTTAATGTACTGGCAAATTAATATTTAATTATTATTAATTTAATATTTATATGTACTTATATTTTATTTAGATAATGATATATATACTATGTATATATATTATTTAAAAATTATTATTATTATTATTATTATCATCATCATTATCATAAATTCCTAATGTTTTACGTATAAGTGTAATAAAATACGATGAAACCATATTTATTTATTTTTTTAAATATTTTGTTTTTATATATCAAATATAACGTTACAGTACTTTATATATTATATATTATATTTTTAACAACAAAAAACAAAGAAAAAAAATAAAAATCAAATCAAAAAATCCCAACAAAATATAAAAACATTTCCACATTATTCATAGATTTTATTTATACAAATCATCTCCAAAATAAAAACATTAAATTTAATGCATTAATACGATTTCATAAACTAAAATATAAAAAATAATATGAAACAAAAGTTACATTAAAAAAAATCAATTCAAATGAGAGATTCAGTATAAAATAAAATCAAGTTTTTTTTTGAATGAATGAAAAGCAAAAATAATAAATAAAACAGTTATGCCTTTCCTTTATTTTTACTTATACTGAACTGTACTGTATATATCATATATATATATATATATATATATATATATATATATATATATATATATATATATGCAAAATCTAACTCTATCTCTCCCTATCCTCTCCTTATCCTCCCTGTCCTCTCAACTACTCTCACACGCCATTAAAAATTGTTTGTCTCAATCATCTGAACATTAAATGTCATAAATAAAAAAAAATCTCTGTTTTATGTTTAATAGCATTGAATTCAATTCATTATTATACATATAAATATAATATCTATATATATTCAATACTCATATCATATATCTATTTATCTCTACTTTATATATATATATAGACATTGAATTAACAGAAAATAAAAAAAGACAAAATTTTTTATTATTATTATTTTATATAAAAATTTTATCTTTAAATATGACTATAAATTAGACGTTTTATACAATAGATGGTAAATTTATATATATATATAATCATACATACAATTTGCATATTCAATAGTTAGAGGTTATATAACATAGAGATCCATTAGCTACAGTTCCCCACATATAAGCCCCCTATATATATAATTTATTATTATATTTATATATATATATATAATTCCCTCTAAAACATTAAAACTAAAAAACTATCACCAATGGTGACAATAATAATAATGATGATAATGTTAATGTTAAATAATAATAATAATAATGAATACTAATTATCTATGTTTTTTTGATATTATAGACGATAAATGTTAATTTTTTGACAATTTAAAAGAAATAAAAAAAAATTAAACACTATAAATGTAATGATATCATATTCATGATAATTATATAATAAATGCCAATTAAACACATTTTATACTTTTTTTATAATTAATAGTTTAAAACAATATATATATATATATATTTAACAGATAAATGACAAAATGTAAAATAATAATAATAATAATAAATGATAATTTCAATTAAAAACAATTGTTACCCAAAAATTGTTGGCAACTATCTGCTATACTATAATAATAATAATACTATACTACCATTATTTAATATTATCATATTTAATATTTGCATAATAAAACACATTTAATTTATATATATATATATATACTGTAATGTAAGTGTGTGTGTGTCAGTATTATTGAGTGTTTTTGACAGTTATGAAAGCAATAATAATATATGCAATCATAAAAAATACTAATCAAAAATAAAAGTCAAACAAAATTTTTCCACACAATATACAGTACACACACACACACACACACACACACACACTATTAGTAAGTTTAGTAGAGGTTTTAGGTTATTATTATACACTAACACACATTTTGCAATATTATGAGAGATTTTATTATTATTATTATTGAGTGTATGCTAAGCAGCAAAAATGGGGTAACAAAATAAAATAAAAAAGATTTGCAAAATTAGCTAATATTATGTATCATAAAGTGTGTGTAAATGGGGCTTAATATCTATGATTGCTTTATTATACACACACACACACACACACACACTGTATGTATTTTATGCAACATTTTATATATAATAGCGTGTGTGTGTGTAAGTTAAGCACAATTTGTTTGCCATTTAGTTTATGTATTATTATTATTATTATATATATATATAGTACTACTTTATATGAAAAAGTGTGAGTGCGTGACAGTAAAGTATATGATTTTATATATTAATATATATATATATATATATTGTGTATATATTTAGTAATAGTACTGGTATAATATAGTGCACATATAGCTAGTTAATTTAACCTGGACAATTTTGTATATTTAGTTATCAGTTGTTGTGTTTTTAAATTTTCTACTAATTTATAAAAATCTACATAATTTCTAAATATTTAAATTATCAATAAATAATTATTTTTATAATTTTTTTTAAATAAAAATAATTATTATTATTAAAATACATATGAATATATCTACAGATATAGTCATTTAGTTATATGTTTACTATGATTGTGATTATTATTATTTTTTTTGATAGAGAGAGAGAGACTTAAAGTAACATTTTTATTATCACTATTTTTTGTATATTTATGATTTGTTATGATTAATACTACTATATGTAAAGTACTTTATTATTATTATTATTATTAGTTTTTTTGTAGAAAAATATTTAAATCTCTCTCTATTTTTCTAGTATATAGTTTATAAAACATTGTTATTATATATTATTTTTCATTATTATTATTATTATTATTACTATTATAAACTACTATTAGTTTTTATATATATATTTTTAAAACAAACTTTAAAAAATCAAACAAAAACATATACTGTATATATTATAACAAAAAAATTATGCTACTAAAAAATATTTATATATTTATACAGTATATTCATCTAATATTTTTTATGGGGGGTGGGGTCGGTAGGGGTTTACCGCTTAATAGCCTACCAAAAAACACTTTAATAATTATACAGTATATTATAATAACAAAATCAAAAAAAAATCTATAAATATTTATAAAATATATAATTATTAAATGATTTATTTAAATAATACATATAATAATAATAAAATGTAGTTTAATATTAACAATTAAAAAAATTATTATCTCTAATAAACAGTAACTGTATGACTAACCTATAGGTACCGTCGCTCATCAGGTCGGTGCTGGCCTGCGGATGATGCTGGCCGACGACCACTTCCGACCGGTTATACCATGTTATGTTGGCCGCTGGTCGGGCACCTTCGACCGCGCAGGTCATCGATACCATTTCGCCGGCTACTACTGCCTGATTGGGACCACGAAGTTTCAGGGCCAGCGGCCGCACCTGTATGTCCAAACGGACCAACTGGAACAATGGTTGGGAGGTTGCATTATTCCAGACCCGACACTCAAATCGGGCACCCAGGTCATAGCGGGTAGCTATGATACGCATTGTCGAAGTAACTGTCGGTCCACTGCCGCTACCAGTGTCGGTAGCCGTTTGGTCGGTACCGATCGGGTTGTTGTTGTTGTTTGTGTTGAGGACAGTTGTCTTCGATCGCATCAATCGTGTGCCGTTATACCAGCGAACTTCTGGCAGTGGCCGACCGCCAGATGACGAACATTCAAATACAATGGTCGAGCTTTCGGCAAACGGACCGATTTGTTGGTCATTGATGTTATCGACGCCGACATCGGGTTTTGTCGATGTTGTCAACATTATTGACGGTATTGTTGTTGTCGTTGTGGTCGTTGATGTTGTTGTAGATGTAGTTCCCGATGGTGATGACGCTGAGTATGGATAGTCATCGATGCTATTATTAGCTATGCCGACGGCACCGGTAGTTATAATAGACTGTTGTTGTTTGTTGTGTCGTTGACTGTGATACTGATTGATCTCACGGCCGTTCACTCGGATTACTGGATTACCCGGTTTTGCTGTTCAAACATAACAAACAAACAAAATTATAAAGTTTTTATTTTTAAAAATTTTACTACTAATTGATTAGAGAGAGAGAGAGAGAGAGAGAGAGAGAGAGAGAGAGAGAGTAAACTGTTTTTAAAAATAGATAAAATGCTTTTCAACCACAAAATTGATGATAAAAATAGTTATTTGTATTTATATATATAGTAAAGGATTGCCGTTTTTTGCTAAAAACAATTATAACTATTTGGAAATGTATTCAATAATTGTCAAAATTTGTTTATTTGTAAACTTTATAATATATATATATATATATATATAGTTGACATTAATTAGCCCATTGCTTGTTAAGATTTTTCAAAATATTTATTTATTTTATTTTTATTTTAAACCATCATTATTATTATAATCATCATCATTAACATTACTAATTATTTTTAATTAGTTATTTTTGGTGATTAAAATTTTTTAATTTTAAATTTTAAATATATATATATTGTTTACTCCCATAATATAAGCAAACTATTGAATAATATACAGTATATAAAATAAATTTTATATAATTTATAGATTTTTAGTTGTTTTATTAAAAGTTATTTTATTTATTTATTTTCAGTGTTATTATTGAAAATAAATTCAATTGAATTCAATTTTATTTGTTTACTACAAATAAAGTTTATATTTTTAAACAAAAATATTGTGTCGATTGAAACATAAAATTTAATTTTCCTTAAAATAAAGTTCACACACAAAAAATATTTTTACAATTTATTTATTTTGTATTATTGATAATAATATTTCATTCAATTTGTTTGCCACACATTTTTTTGTAGTGTTTGGTTATATACTTGACTATTATAATAAAATAAATTTTTATTATTTTGACTTTTATTTTATCAATATATATATATATAATTTGGTCAAAAGCACGATAAAATAAACCTAACGTTTTTTGAAGTATATGTTTTGTTATATACAATATATATATAACAAAATTATTGCCAATACTTTTTATAATACTTTATATTATTTTAGTTTTTTTTATATAGTTGTTGCTATAAAGTTGCTATATATTGATATTTATTTAGCAATTTTTGGTCTATTATTTTTTTAAAAAATAAAATAAAAAATATATAAACATTTACTACTATTATTATAGCTACTATTATATATATATATATATATATATATATATATATATATATATATATATATATATAAAACCTTAATTCATTCACAATTCATAATAAATTAGACATTTGAGGGTAATTCCTATGGAGTTATATTTTTTTCTAATAAAGTTAAACACAACTGAGCCATGAATTTAAGATACACACACACACTGAGCACTGGTATGTGTATGTATGTATGTGTGTGTGTATGTATGTGTGTGTGTATGTATGTATGTCTGTGTATGTATGTGTGTGTATGTGTTTATATGTATGTGTTTATATGCATGTGTTTATATGCATGTGTTTATATGTATGTGTGCATGTATGTATTTATGTGTATGTATGTGTGTATGTAATGTGTGTGTCTAATGTATTGTATAGTAAAATAAAATAACAAAAATCAATAGTATTTTTTATCAGCAACATAAATTACAATTGAAACGCTAAACAAACAATAAATAAATAAATGTCTTGCATTTATATATATATATATATATATATATATATAGTATATACTGTATATATATAAATTTAACTTTTTATCTAGATTAATTAACTAGATAATCTAGATAGCTTAATTATATATCTATAGACTAGTAAATAGATAACAAAATTTAAACGATAACAAAATTACGTTTAATTTACTTAACAAACAAACTAATAAAAAATTAATTTCAAAAAAAAACTAAAGTACTTAACAAATATTACAATACAAGAAATATATCGTAAATGTTGTCTAATGTATACAATAATTAATTACATAAAATAATATTTAAATATTTTTAGAAATAAAATTTGTTTGTTTTTTTAAATATTGAAAACATTAAAATCTTATTTTAATATTCAGACCATTATATTTATTTTTTTTATAAAATATTGTATTAAAAAACTATTATAATTTCCAAAAAGTTATATTATAGTTATATTATTAATGAATTTTTTATTATTATAAAACTATACTCTATTTATCATATATTTTTTGTTTTTGTAGTTTTTTTATATACAGATTATAAGTATATTATATATACAGTGCTATATATCGTGTAATATCTAATGTTTTATAAATTATTTTATAAATAGTTTTTGACTTTTACTTTAAGTAATTTTTTTTCGTATAGAAAAGTTTATTTAATATTACACAGAAAATATTTTTTTGAGTAATAAATATTCAGCTAAAAAATAAATAGTAATATTTTAAAAACAATTTGAATGAAATATTACGAAAAAATAAAATGAAATATAATATAAAAATAAAAGAATAAAAAAAACTTTTACTGTTATATTAATAATATATTTTTTTATAAAGATTTTTGCATTACTTTATATATATATATATATATATATATATATATATAGTTTAATATAAATATAATATACAGTATTTTTAAGTTAATATACAATATATATATATATATATGACTATTATATATATATTGAATATTTTGCTAAAAGCAAAAATATAATTTAATATCTAATGGAAAAATGCAAAATAAAAATTGTATTTCATTTTCACTTATAATTTATGATTAATTTCTAATATATATATATATATTATATTATATATACTGTATATATTGTTGTTGATGTCACACAATGTATTATTATTATTATTGTGAGCACTAGTAGTATATAAAAAAAAATGTAAAAATTAAGTGAACAACTCATATATATATATATAGCTAAGTTATCTAATTTTTTAAAATTATATTTTATACACATGAAATGAATAGATTCCGCCGCTTATTATTTCTATACTAAATAATATTACATTTTATATAATCACAATTTTGATATGCATTTATAAGCTATAATTATATAATCATTTTCTATTACTAAGCTTTAGTTATTTTTTTGTATTTGAATTATTTTGTATTATCGATATTAATGTTTAATCAATTATTTAGCTATTGGTGCGCAACTATATGCGCCAGTATAGTAATGGCTGCCAAAACACATGGTTTACAGGCAGAGCTATAGTAGCACTCGTTTGGGACAGTTGTCTCAGTTTTTGATTAAGCTTTACCATCGCTGGAATAGGACAGTTGTCCTAAGTTTAGCTAATCCGGAGTTACCGGACAATAATGTCTTCAATTATATTACTTTAATTATATGTAACTCTTTATTAATTAATTATTATTAAACTGTATTATAAGTATTATATTATACACTGTGTTGTGCCTACAGTAATCGTTTAGCTTATGGGTGATTATAGTTGTTGCAACAATAGTGTATGATAGCTAAGCCGCCGCAACAATTGTCTCTAAGCTCGGGTCCAAAGCTGGTCATTGTATAGGCCACACCTTTACCGCATTGCCTATAAGTGGTAGCTCGTCTGCAGCTATAAGCCTACCTATTTAACGGGAGAGCATAATTCACGGGTCTCATAGCTAAGCCCCGCAACCCGTGAATTGCAACCGCACTGCTACAGCTGAGGGTGTGCCAGTTGGTGACACCCGTAGCAGAATCAACCGTTACATAAGCTGGTGGAGGCGCCCGTTCTCCCTGTTTCGTGAACTGCAGTGACCAGAGATAACAGTTACATAAGCTGGTGGAGGCGCCCGTTCTCCCAGTTTCGTGGACTGCATTGGCCATCATATAAGCAACAATTTACGCAATAAGCCGGACCTCGAAGAGAGACATCGTGTCAACGAAGAGCTAAAAGGGATCGCACGGGACAAGCGTTAGAAAAGGCTGAAGATAAGCAAATGGCAGACGCAATGAAAAACAAAATGGCGCTTAAAGCTCAAATAGATGTCATTTCTAAAGAAATTAAGGACAAAGCTAATGCTGGTTTTTATGACGATATGAGTCGGTTTTTTGAAGACATCGAGATTTTAAAGAAAGCGCAGAAAACGACAGATGAAAGCCAAAGACAGAAGCTATTTAGCCGATTAAGCTTTTTGAAGGACAAGGATTGTAATCACCAATCGCTGGAGACAGAAGTAGCACCGGAAGAGCTTAACAACGCAAAGACGCTTAAAGACAACGCAAAGGAATCGGGAGAGATGGTGGACGCACTCGCGGAGGACAAAAACCTTGACGATAGCTATAGTGGAAACCGTGAAGTGACCAAAGGATTGGCACAGTCGGGGAACGAAGCTATGGATCGTAAGGAAGGAAACGAAGCAGTGGTCGCCTACTCTACGACAACAGCAGCCGCTGTTATAGCAAAGTCTTCAGAAGCTCTTAGCATAGGAGTTGAAGCAAAGCAAGCGTCGGAAGCGATTACAGTTGTAATCAAAGAAGTAGCAGCTCTTGGAAAGGAAGAAAATAGCGATATCAGCGAAGAAATGGTAGAAACGATTGCCGATAGCATAGCAACAGAAGCTGACGAAATGGCAGACAAAGCAAAAGTTGAAGAGTTAAGCAAAGCTTTGGAGGACCAGAGGCTTAGACAAGAGAAAGAAATGAGAGAAATGAGAGAAGAAATGCAGAGATTTATGTCAAACGTGAAAGCTATGACCACAACCGTCAACAGCTTAGCAAAAGAAACAGAACCACAGATTGTCAGAAATAATAGCGAAGAAGTGGTCGACACAATAGCCAACAGCAGAGCTAAACAAACGGACAAACGCTTAGCTCAAGAATCGGAACAACAGAAAAATAACAGCTATATTACCGAAGAAGTAATCACAACAACCGTCGATAAGCTAACTCATGAATCAGACAATAATGACGGAAAAGCTATCGAAGAAAACACCGCAACAACACATGTGAAGACAACACAAGACAGCGCCGAATCAACAGATTTAACAGAAATATTAGAAAGCGTTGATTCAAGAGATATGTCGGGAATTCAAGAAAGCGCTAAAACAACGACAATGTCTGAAACTATTGAAAGC